GCGCACCGCGCTCAGGGACCCCGCGCCCCAGCATGCTCGCGGCCCCGGACCCCGGCCGCATCGAGGTGCGCGGCCTCCCGCCTTGGAGGGCCCCTCGCCCACCCCAGCCCTTTCAGCCCCCTGCTGCGAGCTTGCTTTCTCTGCCAGCCGCCCTCCATCCTCTCTTGTTTGGACTTTTAAGGATTTTAAAGTTGGGAATCTGCTTGGGAAAGGATCGTTTGCTGGGGTCTACAGAGCCGAGTCCATCCACACGGGTTTGGAAGTTGCCATCAAAATGGTAAGAGCGGGTCGGTCAGCGTCTTGCTGGGGCTGTGCAGGTGACCAGAGAGGTGGCTTCTGGGGGTGTCCGGGGCGCCTCGGTGGGCTTCTCCTGGCTGGTGCTGCGGCACCCCATCACCTGCCCCGTCTGGAGACTGGCTGTGGACGTCGCTTGCTGTACACAGGGGCTGTGGCTGGGACCCCTGTTTCTGGAAGGGTCATCGGGCTCTGAGTTAGCCATTAGCCCCTGGTTCTTTTCTAGTTAAGTTAAACTTGAGGATACCTTAGGAGATCCGTGACCAGAGTAGTTTTTCAACTTTGTGACTGTTCTTTAGTTGGCGTGTCTGTTCTGATTACACACACTGGGGTAACTGGTAGAAATCAAACAGCAAGTGATCCTTCTGGTGGTGAAAATGCACGAACGCATAGCTCTGCACCCCGCTGTAACCGTCTCAGCACCCTGAACTGCTGGGGTCGGGCACGGGGTCGCCTGAGCAAGGGAGGACTCGCTCATCCAAGCCAGCTGGGAAAGGTAAGGGCGTTTGCATTTAAAACTCAGGCAAATTTTGTGGGTCTTGTCAGACACGTGACACTTGTCCTGTTAAACGCTTCAGTTTGGGAGATGTTGTAGAATGCGTCGGGCACATTAGTGAGGTCCACTCTGCCGTCCACTCTGCAGGCGCTCGGAGAAAAGTCCACAGCAGGAGGAGTTCGCAGAGGCGGATGGAAGGCTCCTCTCTTCAGGGTCAACGTTTGCTGTGGCAGCTGAAAGTTACCGTAGTTCACACCCCATTTTGTTTTTAGATCGATAAAAAGGCCATGTACAAAGCTGGGATGGTGCAGAGGGTCCAGAACGAGGTGAAAATACATTGTCAGCTGAAGCACCCTTCCATTTTGGAGGTAAGAGGCCGTAGCTGGCTCGTGGCAGGCTCGCTGTGCGGGGGCGGCGTATCGTGCGCTCTTGCACCCGTGAGTGACCGTGGGTCGTGCCCTTTCACGTTTCAGCTCTATAACTACTTTGAGGATAGCAATTACGTGTACCTGGTGTTAGAAATGTGCCACAATGGCGAGATGAACAGATACCTGAAGAGCAGGATGAAGCCATTCTCAGAGGACGAAGGTGGGCTGCTCTTTGCTTTGCTTTTCTGGCGGCTATAAACGTGACTCTTCAGCATGTAGTTCTGACGATAGCGCTATTGTAGAACATTTTGAAACTTTGTCGATTATCCCTTCGGGCTAGAAAAGCAGACCCCCTTCCCCAAGTCACAAAGTCACAGACTGCTGGAAGGAATTCAGGTGCGTTGCAGAAGTGAAATGAAGAGGGGAAGTCGTGAGCTGTCTTCCCCGGAAGCGTGTTTTACCTAGACCTTTGGGGCAGCTCACGTCTGTCCGCTCAAGCCTGTGATTGAGCTGCTGCCAGCTACCGTTCGGCCTGAGTCAGGCCAGACGCGCTCCCAGCCGGTGCCGTGGGCGTGCCCCGCGCGGGCGCCGTGAGCCCACCGGCCATCGCCCGTCACCCTGCTTCCCCTCTGCTCAGGTTGTCTTGAAACAGACTGTCGGTGCCTTGTTAGCAGTAAGCGTTTTGACACGAGACGTATCCTGGGCTACCGACCGGCAGGTTCTCAGAAATCGCCCTCAGCCACGCTCAGAAACCTGATCCTTGGCGTCACCTTCTGTTGGGCACCGCCGGGCCAGGTTCTTTTCTTTGCATCAGAGTTGCAGCAAATCTGCACTGAGCGAAGCTGCTACTCAGGGATCTGCGGTGTGTTTCTAGCAGTGAAGTTCTAGATATCTGACCCGCAGAGACGTGAAGTAATTCTTGACTGTCGTCTCCATAGTCACTGTCAGTTTCTCCGTTCCTCTGAACTTCCTGCAGTTCGGTGCAGAATCAGGTAATGCCCGTACGTCAGCACACAGGCCGCACAGGGTCGCAGCCTGCTCTGTGATGGCTGTACGCCGGGAGGGGCCGTGGCTGACAGACTCTCTGTACGTGTGGCTCTGTGACCTTCTGGAAGACAATTTGGTCACGCGGAGCACTACGGGAATGTTCACATCCGTCGACTCAAATGGAAAAATAAAGAGGTCGTGCGTATTGAGGAGTACCGCGTTTTTGGTGACGCTGAAATACGAGTCTTCTTAAGTAAGATAGACCCTGTTGTAAAGGAAGAGAATTATCAGCTACGTAATTAACCCTAAGAAAGTATACTATTAAAAAATGTCGACAGATTGGAAAGATTTAGGGAAAATTATGACTGGCTGATACTTAAAAATCTTTAGGCACGCACGCCTCAGAAAGATAATACAAAGGAACAGGGCACAAAACAGATGGCTCACAGAGGGGGAGTACAGAGATCCTCAGACCCCGTAGTCAGCAGGATGACTACTGAAGAGGCCTGCGTGTGACTCCTTAGACTGGGCCGGCCTGATACTAACCGAGGTGCATGTGGCCTTGTGGAGGACAGTGTGGCCGGGCGTGGGAATGTCGCATTTATCCGCGGGGTTGGCGTGCTTGAGCTGACCACAGAGAAGCACCCCGTTCATGCACATGCCCAGAGCAGGCGTGTGCTAGGGTGGGGGCTGGCTGTATGCTCGGATCGTAAATACCAAGGGGACCCACGTGTCCACCGCAGCAGCTGAATGGAACGGGAATCTGCGTGCTGGCGTAGAACTCTCTCCAGGAAGCGTCGTGGCTGGGGGAGGTGTGGAGCTCTGTGCCATGAAAGTCCCAGGCGAGACTCCCGGAGATCCCGAAGTAGCAGGGGAGGCCGCCGAGCGCGCTTCTGGGGCGGGGCCGGCTTCGCTCACAACCGAGTGTGTCAGGAGTTGGCGCTGCGCTCGGAAGTGCGCTCGGCCGCCCTGGGTGGCGGGGTTCCCCCGTGGCCCCCTGTTGCTGGCGAGCTGTGCTCAGACCGGGCACGCGGGCCGGGGGGAGGCTGCAGCGTGCCACGAGGCCCCCGGGCCGGTGTCGTGCTCGTGAGCCGTGCGCGCACCGACGCTCCGCGCGTCTCCTCGGGCCGGGAGCGAGGCCTGGGCCGGACCCCGCGGCCTCCGGTTGAGTCTCGCTCCTGCCCCCACAGCGCGGCACTTCCTGCGCCAGATCACCACGGGGATGCTGTACCTGCACGCCCACGGCATCCTGCACCGCGACCTCACGCTGTCCAACCTGCTGCTGACCCGCAGCATGAACGTCAAGATCGCCGACTTCGGGCTGGCCACGCAGCTGGCGGTGCCGCAGGAGAAGCACTACACGCTGTGCGGGACCCCCAACTACATCTCCCCCGAGATCGCCACCCGCAGCGCGCACGGGCTCGCGTCGGACGTGTGGTCCCTGGGCTGCATGCTGTACGCGCTGCTCGTCGGGCGGCCGCCCTTCGACACGGACACGGTCAGGAACACGCTCAACAGGGTGGTGCTGGCGGACTACGAGGTGCCGGCTCACCTGTCGAGAGAGGCCAAGGACCTGGTCCAGCAGCTGCTCCGCAGAAACCCGGCCGACCGCCTGAGCCTGGCCGCGGTGCTCGACCACCCCTTCATGTCCCGGAGCGCCGGCGCGAAGGGCAGAGACCGGGGGACTGCGGAGGACTCGCTGGACAGCGGGCACGCCACGATCTCCACCGCCGTCACGGCCTCGCCGAGCGCCAGCTTCGCCGACCGGAGGAGACTCTTGGTGGCCCAGCCGCTGCCAGACCGGATGGCCGCGCCCCCGCAGGGGAGGCAGTTTCCGTCCTTCGGGGAGGGAAGCGGCCCCTCCGCCCGGTGGGGGCTGCAGGGGCCAGAAGCCAGCGGCAGCG